GTAAGTCTTAAAAGACTTGCCTTAAGGTAGGATTTCTCTGCTGACGATTTTGCAGTCTGAATCCTGGCAGCAAGCTCTCTCGCCTGGAATTTCAGGAGAGTCTGTGGGCTGACAATTGTACTGGAAGATATTTTTGAAGGGGTGGGCCCACACGAGTAAAATTGCACTGGAAACTTAGAGGTTAAACTTGGACTCACTGCATGCCTTGTTTTCCTTTGTTCAAATAGAGTTAGGTGTGTTGCTGACAATGTGGAAGGTTTGGATAGATCGGTAGTCTCTGGTGTAAGTGCACGCTACGAGAGGATTAAGGTAGCCACAAGTACTTAGAGGTGTAGTGTTGGACCCCCATACAAAACCCTGCTGAATTAGGAAGCTATGTTGAACTTGTTGTAGGATCAGGGATTTTGTTATCAAAATGATTGCTGTGTGAACATTTCTTTTTCCATTCAAGGGAAACAGATGCAGAATTGCATATACAATTTTTAGTATCAGATGACTGTTTAAGATGCAGAAAACACTGGAGTACAGAAAAGAGAGTGGTGTTGACTTTCATCCAAGAAGAGATGAATGTGAATTGTTTGTTACAGTATTTGTTGTTTGCTTTTGACAGCACTGTTCTAGGGTAGGCCCTTTTTATAACCATCAAGAGGTGTGATGTGTCCCATGGTGGATTTTTATAATGCAGTAGACAAGAGGCTCTAACAGAGTGAAGTGGTACATGTCTTTTTAACCAAAGAATTTAAGAACACAATGGCTTTCTTGTTCATTTCCATTTTTAATGAACATATTCTCTCTCATTATGTACAACTTTGACATAATCATACAAACCTAGATGGTGAGGTTGGGAGTGCAGTGTAGAATCTGAAAACAAATGAGCAGTCAATTAACTGGCTTCCGCTAGACAATATGTGAAATAGGCCTTTGGAAAGGATTTAAGTCTGAAAACTATGAAAACCTCTTGTTTTGCAAAAGGGATAACATGGGGAAGAGGAAAGCCATTTTCAGGAGAAGATTTTTGGTGGAAGTGTCTTTAATCTGGCAGACAAAAGCATGGCAAGATTCCACGGTTGGAATCTGGAGTTTGACAAAATGAGGCTGTGGGTGGGATGGCAGTTATGAAGCGGGGGCTATGCAAAAAAAAAAGGAAAATGAACTGTTCAGGATGTGAAATTATTAGGGGACAGACCTCAAGGACAAGAAGTCTCAATTTAGCCCGGTTTGGAGGAGGAACAGGTTTTTCCCTTAATGGAAAAGTCTGCTTTGTGCTCTAGTTTCCTGCCTCTACTCCAAATACCTCTCATTGATTTTTGTGGATTTCTTTAAGGATTGTGACTTCATTAACTATGGTATTTCAGCAGCATCAGAGGCCAGGATTTTACCACTGCCTGTCTGTGCTATATTGCAATGTTGTTCTAGTGTGTATTTTTTTTAAAGTATCTCAATCCTAAAAAAAAAGGAAGGGGGGTATTATTTGTTATCAAGCTAATTCTAAAACAGACTTGATTTTTGGTTTTGATGTTATTTTTTAGGGTTTTTTCCTAGCTCAATGCTTGGTGAATGGAAGGAAAATACACTTTTATGACCATAAAGCTGGTGGCTATTGTCAGAATCCATTCTGCAGCATGCCCTCCAAAATATTTACTTTAGACCCAAAAAGTAATTCTAATATAAGCAACTCTCAGGAAACTTGCCTTGTCATGTACTCCACAGAACAAAAGGAAATATGATATTGCTTTGGAGGAAGTCCCAATACTGGTCTTTCTGAAATGTTTCATCCTCTTTTGGGTTATGTACAGACTTGCTATTTGAACAAGGAAGAGGAGCTCCCATTATCTTGCTGTAGCAGGTATCAGATTAACCAGATCTAAAGGAGCCGGGGACTAGTATGCCTAAATTCCCATGGCACATAGACAAATGCTACAGTGTTTTGTTTTGGTTTCCCCCCCAACAACCATAAAAATATTATGCTTAAATGGAAATTTAAGTCTGATGGAAAAAGTGTTCTTCTAATAGGATTATTGTAAAGAGGAAACAACCTAGGATTTTACTTCCTAACATTTGCCCTCGAGTTGTTTTTAAGGGAGCTTTTAGTACATATTGTTAATGATTTAAAAACAATTTCAAAATCAAATAGCATCAAATATTTCTACTACTCCTAAATGACTGCCTCACTCCTAGGACTGTAGTGAGTGTCATTTGGTAACTTGCTTACCCAAAATATGGAGGGTTTTGACAAACTTATTTTTTTCCAATCAAAAGGCAACATGATTGATGGGCAGAGCACTTCGGGGAAAAAATTTGTCAGTGGGGTTTAGGATCAATCAGGCCTGTAATTTGCTGTCTTGTGTCTTCTACTTCCATGGAGAACAGAACAGGTACCAGCACTGAGATTTTTCCCTTTTTTCTGCACTCACTTATATCAAGCCTGCATCATTTTGTATAACGGCCTTTTAATAACGGCAGAATAATATGTGACCCCGAAACCACAGGACTTTAAAATGGTGACATGTTTATTACATTCATTCTGATGGTAGGGGCTAATTCCAGTCCAGAGACTAAGGAGAAGTGGCTTGTACATCCTGTCTTCTCTTGCTGCGCAGCATAGATTACAGTATTCTATAGCAAGTCCCTAGTTTGTGTCCTGGCTACTCAACACACAGGCTTTGTGTCAGCTAGGGAATTGCTTCCTCCCACCACCAGCATGCTATTTAATGCTAGAACATCAGTCTTTTATTCTTTATAGCATGGGTGAGCAAAATGGCAGATTTGGCTGATGGCCCGACTCCATTTCCCAGCAGCCCTTGACCCAGCCGGTCTCCCTGGAGACCCTGGGAGCAGCGGTGCTGTGACATCGCTGGGCCATAGAACTGGTGCTCTGCCCCAACTCCACACTGTCATGGCCCTGTTGCTCTTGGGGTCTCCACGGAGAGTGGCCCAAAGTGGCATGGTGAGGGCGAGTGGCTGGGCGGGGAGCTGCTCTGGGGCTGGGATCTTGTATTGGTGACAGCACAGTGTCAGAGCCATGATCTGCTGCCTGCATGCCCCTGCCTGTGGAACCCACATTTGTCACAGGGCCTTGTGGAAAGTGGACTGTGGCTCTGCCCCATCCCCCCGCAAGATCCTGGAGGCTCCTGGCCACCTGCCTCACTCTGGGCTATGACCCCATCCTGGCTGCATGCCCTGCCTGGCAGTAGGTGCAGGGCAGATGGGTTTGGGTGCCCAGGCGGCAGGGCTGGGTCCGGTGGTGGCAGCCAGAAGGAGCTGTCGCCACAGACTGCTGGGAAATGGAATCTGCCGCAGGCCCAATTCAGCACACAAACCAGCACTTGCCCGCCCCTGCTTTATGGTAGAAAGTAGATGGAAGATGTATTCTCTGGTCCTGCCTCTATTTCTGTAGAGGAGAGGGGTGTGAGCAGCCCGTTTGAAAGGGGTGGAGTACTTGCCCAATGTACACACTGCTATAGGATGACTAACCACTTCCTAATCATATATTGTTTCAGCAATCGAACCAAGAACTGTTGTAATGTAACTTTGGCATTCAGCATACGAAGTGAGTCATGGCAGATGAGTCAAGCCAGATTTATATTAGTGTTTTCACCCTGTACACGTTGATCTCTGTGTGTTGTTGGCTATGAACTTTAACTTTTCAACCTCCCACTAAAGGTTTTCAAAACCTTCTAGGAAGATCTGTTCTGTAGCCATTTTGCTCCAAGTAATGATAGATAATGATGGGTTGGGCAATAAGTGTGTTGCAAACCATAAGCAAGAGGTTTCAAACTTGGAATCAAGTGGCACCACAAAAAAACTACCATTTGCCCTGTTCTAATTGTTTCTATTAAAACTTCCCATTTTAAACAAAATAGCCTTCCTCACAGTAAGCAGCTAACTCCTAAAACAGCCAGACATGCTGATGATGAATGTGTAAGCCTGAAATTCATGTCATGGCCCTGTGGAATGCACTCTAGGACATTGAGTGACCTTCTAAAAGGCTAAATAATCTTTGCCTGACTTAAATTTATACTTTTTTTGTCACGACAAGTTTGGTAATCTGGTGGGTTTGGCAGCTTTTTCCTCACCTTTCAAGATTTGCACCTTGCACTTGATTTTCACGGTATGGTATTAAAACTGCCTTGCTGGCAAAGCAGGATACCTATTAGTAAAACAGCTGTCGAGAACATGACCTCAGAATCCCAGAAGGTTAATAAAATACTAGGAAGCGGTAAGTTAGCTTCTGGTAAAGGATTAGTCAGCGCTAGTAATTAATAATTTCACTGCATTTGTTCTTTGTCGCAAACCATTTAATGTCAAATGGCAATTAATAACACTTAAATAGCCCTCTTCAGATTTTGGCTGCAGGTTTTTTCTGGAGTCTTGTCTGCTTTCTTAAAGAAAGTGTCCAAGGAAGTTTGGACAGCTGTTTTCCAGGGACATGAGCGATGCAGCGAACTTGTTCGCTGGCGTGCCATGGCAATGGATCGAGCGTCAATTGAAAGTTGAAACTGACGTCAGAAAATCTAAACAGGGTATCAATTTATAAACGTTGTAAGTGCCGTTCTTTGTAACTATAAGCGTTATGTCAAGGACTGCCTGTAATAGGTTACCTGGCTCCCAGCCATGTGTATGAATTACTGAAACAACAGGGTTTTTTAACTGAGTTAAACTAAGCAGGATCTACCTCAGGGGTGGCAAAATATGGCCCACAGGCTGGATCCGGCCCATGGATAGACTTTGTCCAGCCTGCAGCGGGTCCCTCAATCTCACATGGCCCAGGCACCATCCAGCCCATGGCACATCATGCCACCCCCTGGGCACAGCCAGGCTGGAGCACCTCCACATCTGGATGTTGAAATGATACTCTCAGTTATGAAACATGAACTGGATTGGATTTGAGGTTTTTTTTCCTTAACATGCAACAGAATTACTAAAAAGACAGTTTATTTTTCCTTATGTATCTCATGTATTTTTCCTT